AGGCATGATAAAAGGAAAGAATAAGTGAATGAATGGATGAATGAATATATAAAGGAATTAAATTTCATTGTATGAGTAGAACGTAATATATTATCAATCTTTCATTCGATATATAGGTTCAGATTTCATTTGCTCAAAATATAAATTTTAAAAATAACCAAATTAATAATAATAATAATAACTACTAGAATAATAATAATCAATTACAATCACAGTAGCATGTTGCATGCAGCAAAATCGAAATTTTTAAGTTTAGTATTAAAAATGAAAAAACACTTTGCTGATTATGTTTAACACTATTATTATTATTATTATTATTATTATTATTAATATTATTATTTGTTAATTTATATTATTATTATTATTTCGGTTATTGTCCATATTTATTCTCATTCTTTATCAATGTTTACAATCAGCCAGCAGAATATTTACATATCTGTTACTACTACTACTACTACAACTGCTACTACTACTACAGCTACCAGTACTATTACTACTACTACTACTAATACTACTATTACTACTACTACTACTACTACTACTACTACTATTACTACTCACTTATACAAAACAGAACCAAGACCAGATGAGAAAAATTTCAACATGCAGATGTTTGAAAGGTTGCCTGAGATTCGAACCAGGGGACCACCAGTTACAACAGCAGCAGCAACAACTGCTGAGTCAAACATTTACCACGAACGGCCACCGTTCCTTTTCAACTTCTGGAGATAACTTTTGCGACGTTAACAACTTTTTGAATAATAATAATAGGAAAATTTCAGATTGGCGCTTGAACCAGCCGCAGAGTTGTACGAACAACGGTGTTACTAATAACCACAACGGCAGCATTAATAACAACAACAGCAACAATCCTTCCTGCAGATTATCACCAGCTTCATTGAACGCCCTGCTCAACAATCAGTTCTATCTCAACAACAACATCAACAACAACAATGTTTCCATCGCCAACTTTAAAAATTTCAAAGCCAACTTAACTTTCCACAACAACAACAACAACACGAACAATCCTTTCTTACCCATCCTTTCACCAGTCAACCTCTTCAACAGCAACAACATCTTTGCCAACAACAACAACAACAACAACTTCATCAACAGCAACAACATCCTCAACAACAACAACTTCACCAACAACAACAACAACTTCATCAACAACATCCTCAACAACAGCCAGCGCAAGCATTCGAGAGCGTCGTTATCTTCAGCGTCAACATCGGCAACAACTCCAACAACAACAAAAATTTTTGACTTTTTCAAAGACCCTGAAAAAGCAGCGAACGGGAACATATTCTGCAGGCGAACAAACATGGCGTATTTCAAAAGTTTGCCATCTTACATGTGCAATTCATACCAAGTCAGAACAGACGATGATGGTCCTTATGGGAATGACGAGACGAGGTTTGTGCGTGTGTATGTGTGTGTGTGTGTGCGTGTGTGTATGTATATGTGTGTTTGTTGTGTGCGTGTTTGTTGTGTTATAGTTAATTGTGTGTTTATATATATATATATATATATATATATATATATATATATATATATATATATATATATATATTATATACACATATGAGTTCTTATAAGCTTTGTTCAGTTGTGTCAAATAACTTCTTTTCAAAATTATTCAATTAAATATATATAATCGCTATTTAATAAATCAACAGAGACATGCTTGCATTCGTTCATTCATTCGTTCGTTCATTCATTCATTCGTTCGTTCGTTCGTTCATTTATGATTGAACTGGCTTCAAACACGAAAAAACTATTACTCCAATTATCGAATGATTGCAATCAACAAGCGTAATTCCTTTGCAAACAAACACTCGTTCTTTCATTCATTCGTTCGTTCATTCGTTCTTTCTGTTTTTTTTCATTTGTTCGTTCATTCTTTTTTGAGTATTCGTTCACCCACTCGTTTATTCATTTTTCATTAATTTATTTTTGCGTTTGTTCACTCACTCCTTCACTTGTTTGAGCCTTCCATCCTTTATCTAACAAACCAATCAATCAATTAATTAAAAACTGCTGAATTTTAACCCAAAATTCCATATCTGCTCAACAAATCAACCTCACTGTAACCTGGCCCAGATATTTATTAGCCAATAAAATTGTACCATGAGCTGATGTGACCTACTTTTAAATTTATTTATTCATTTTCAATTTTATTCGTTCTCTTATTCAATGAAATTTTGAGCAATTAACGTTTTATTTATAGAGTTTGCAATGAAGATTGATTGAATGAATGAATGAATTAAGTAGTAAATGAATGAATGAACGAATGAACGAACGAACGAACGAACGAACGAACGAACGAACGAACGAAAAATGGTCACGAAATGAATGAACAACAAATGCGTAAGAACAATCAACACTGAAAAATGAATGAATTCAATAATAATTATGAAAAATCAAATGAATAAATAAAAACCATATTTATTATTCATAAAAATAACAATTATAATTATAATAATTATAATTTTAGATGTTTTCTGCTGACGACATTCAGCTACCTGACGAAGACTACAATGGCCTGCGTGGTGTGTCGGATGGACATGCTCGTCTACGATAAGTACCCGCTTATCAATGGTTGGTTGGTTGGCTGGTTGGCTGGCTGGTTGGTTGGTTGGTTGGTTGGTTGGTTGGTGGGTTGGCTGGCTGGTTGGTTGGCTGGCTGGCTGGTTTGTTGGCTGGTTGGTTGGTTGGTTGGTTGGTTAGTTAAATGGCTGGTTGGTTGATTGGCTGGTTGGTTGGTTAATTGATTGGTTGATTGGTTGGTTGATTGATTGGTTGATTGATTGGTTGATTGGTTGGTTAATTAATTAGTTGATTGGTTGGTTGATTGATTGGTTGATTGATTGGTTGATTGGTTGGTTAATTAATTGGTTGGTTAATTAATTGGTTGATTGGTTGGTTAATTAATTGGTTGGTTAATTAATTGGTTGATTGGTTGGTTGATTGGTTGGTTGATTGGTTGGTTAAGTAGTTAATTACTTTCATGAAACAACCATTGATAATTTGACGTGTTGCTCGACCGCCAGGAACCTTCTTCCTGTCAAGCGAATCGTACGACGGATGTGCCATCGAACTCTCGTCACCTCGAAAGCAACAACATCAACAGCAGCCACAGAACTTTACCAATCTACCGAACGCCACCACCAGCACCACCACCAGCAGCAAACAACAACAACAACAGTACTTAAACGCGGTATGCATCGGCTGCATGAACGCCAAAACTCGCAAGATCGTCTGCAAGTTCTGTCGGAAAGAGTGGAAAGGCAACTCGCTGGTGATCGGCAGCATGTACAACTACGACATCTTCGGCGCCATGTCTTGTTGCTCGCAGCGATTTAACTGCCGGAAGTGCGGAAACCCGACGAGAGATTTCCCCCCGAAAGATGGCAGGTTCTTCTGCTTTAGCGACTGCACGAAGATGGCCACCTGTGGCAGGTGTGGTCTTGAGGCCCAGCATTCTATCAAGCCCCTTGCCGCTGTCTTTGATGACGTAATCGTTAATAATAATAATAACAATGACAACAATAAAAACAACAATAATAATAATAATTTGGAAAATAATTCTGCGGTTGGTTGTAAGAGTGAGAGCAAGAATGAAAGTAAACGCGAAGATGATTAACAGAACTGCAAGCAGAAAATATTGATAGTAAAAAAAATAATGCTACTAATACTGGGGGCGAAAGTAACATTATTTCAATTATGTTATTACTAACAAACATCATCTTCATCATTTTAATTATAACCATCATCACTACCATCATCATCTTCTTCATTTTAATTATAACCATCATCTTCTTTGTCATCTTCATCTTCATCATTTTAATTATAACCATCATCACCACCACCATCATCATCATCATCTTTTCGTTTTCACACAACATAGTTTACATTACAATTACAATATAGGCAGGCTCTCTTATTCACGTGTGCATTGTATTGAATTTGTAAATAAATAATATGTATAAATGTTATAACCCACACACACACACACACACACACACACACATATATATATATATATATATATATATATAATAAATATATATACATATATATAATATATATTATATGTATATGAACAGTATTGGTTGGTCGTAAATAAGACACACGATATAATTACTTTTTCGATGTGTGTTGATGATGTTGTTGTTGTTGAAGTGATGATGATGATGATGTTGTTGTTGTTGAAATGATGATGATGGTGATGGTTTGTTGTTGAGGTTATGATGATGATAATGAATGATGATGTTATCGCTGCTCAAATGCATCAACAGAAAATACAACAACAACAACAACAAAGATACTGATATCAATGATAATAATGCCTACAACGACAACAGCAACAACAACAACAACACTGCTACTTTACACTTATAAATCTTCAGCAACAATAGCAACAGCGTCATTAAATCATGTCACACGCTTTTGCTGGCGCATCAAACAATGATGACATCAACACACACACATACAAACCCATACACACACACACACACACACACACACACACACACACACACACACACACACACACACACACATACATACATACATACATACATACATACACGTACATATCACTATATATACAACTGTATATTGCAAAATATCATGCAACTATTCATTCATTAATTTGTTCATTCTCTTTCTGACATTAATTAGTTGTTTTTTGATCATTCATTTATTCACCTGTTTTTTCACTCCTTCGCCTGTTTATTTGTTTATTCATTCATTCATGCATTCATTCATGTATTCTCCCATTCATTTGTTCGTTCGTTTGTACGTTCGTTTGTTCGTTCATTCTTTGTTATTCTGAATAAATACATGATTCTTTCATATTTCTTACATATTTACTAGCTATTCGAAGTTTGCTCACCTATTCGTTTGTTCATTCATTCATTCATTCGTTCATTCATACATTCGTTCGTTCGTTCATTCATTCTTCCATTAGCGCACATCTCGCCCCACAAACAATTTTAACGAAATAATTATTGGTTATGACAATGGTTGCTAAGATGGAGTGACAACAACAATAATAACAACAACAACAACAATTGCAAATAATAATAGTAATAATGATGATGATGATGATGATGATGATCTAACATATTGATTTATATATTACGCTAGCGAAAAATGCCTTCACGAACCATTAAAGATTATTGCAGTTTATGTTGTGATTGATAATTACGATTTTATTATTATTATTACTATTATTATTGTAGTTGTTGTTATATTATTGTTATTTTTATTTTGTTATTATTGTTATTACCTTTCGTTTTAAGCCAACGAAAATGGGAGACTTATTATAACTTATGGTAATGGGGAGCTGATGAATGAATGAATGAATGATGGAACGAAAGGATGAATGATGGAACGAAAGGATGAATGAAATAAAAAACAGAGCAGCCAACAGAAATTAGCACACAATGATGCTGTGAACGTACGACGCAATTACATTTTTGCGAAGTTTTTAATTAAGGTTTCAGTGTAAAAAAAGAGTCTGTTTATAACGGTAAGTTTTATATTATTGCTGAAGAGATAGAGAGAGAGAGAGAGGAGAGAGAGAGAAAGAGAGAGAGAGAGAGAGAGAGAGAGAGAGAGAGAGAGTAAAAACGTTTATTTTTCTATCTCATTATTAGCTTATGTAAATTTTTTTCATACACATTAACCGGCTGTTAAACATTAGCGATCAACAACATCAACAACAATAAGAATAATAATAACATTCATAATAAGAATAATAATAACATCAGCAGCGTTAATGTATTTTGCTAGGTAATCATTTTTTAACACGTACTTCTGTATTTGGCCTGGCTATCTACGTGGCTCGCTGCCGAAGTTTTTGCGGTTTAGAACAAAATGTACATACAACATGCACATATATTATTTTATCCTGTTGCTGTTGTTAATGTTGTTTTGCGAATGTTGTGATGTTGTTGTCGTTTGAAACGAAACGGATTTTATGAAATATCACTTTATCCTCTTTGTTCTTCATCGCGCACATTTGAAATCATCTTCTTTCCATACCGTCTCTTCATACATCAGACTAATTTATATTTTTTAAAAATTAACTCTTTCACAAATTTTTATATTTTTTAAAACTACACACAATACACTCACACACACACACAAATACACACACATACAAATACACACACTCAAACATACACACATACATACTTATAATGCTTCATTTAAAATGCGTGTTCACGCACACACACACACGCACATACACAAACACACTCACACGCAAACACATGCACAAACACACTCACACACACACACGCAAACATACACACACACATTCACATACACTCACACACATACTTATAAGCTTCATTAAAAATGTGTGTTGTTTTAGTTATTCAGGTCAACTTTTAGGATTTAATGTTGTTTCTATATATATATATATATATATATATATATATATATATATATATATACTATGTATATATACATATAATTTTGTTTGTTTGTATGTATGTTCAATGTATGTTTTTTATTGTTTTGTATGTTTGGTATTTTATTTCAAAGATTTCTACATCCATCCATTTTTATTTTAATTAAAAGCAGATGTCTGAGGCGAACATGAACGTACGTAAATTATTTCTTTTGTTCATTCGTTCGTTCGCTCTTTAATTCATTTACTTGTTCATCTACCGTCCATTCATCCGTTTTTTTATTCATTCATTCATTCATCCAAATGTTTATGTCTAACCACATTTAATTATCTTCACCTAGCATAAACATGCCTTGTGTTTAATTATTTTGCTCTATATCTATGAAAAAAATAAAAATTTATTTGCATCGTCGTCGTCTTCATCACCATCACATCACTAACATCATCATCATCACATCATCATCATCGTCATCAGTTAGACTTTGGTTTAATGTTGTACGTTGCCTTCGCCATTGAAAAAATGCTGAATTAATTCTGAATAAATTATATCTACACTCACATACACACGCGCACACACATACACGCACACACACATACACATGTATAATAGAGCATATATAATGTATAAAAATGTATATAACCATACAATTATCTAGGTTAAATTTGACGCTTTGCTATTAGCTGTTTCGTGTTTTGTTTTGCATATTTTGTTAGAAACAAGTTCTGTGTCTGTCTGTCTGTCTGTCTGTCTTTCTGTCTGTCTGTCTGTGACTGTGGGTATGTTTGCATGTTGTTGTCGTTATTATTATTATTATTTTCTTCTGACTATTGTTACTATTTTCCTCTTTTTGAGAAGTTTTCAGACGATTTTTTTGAATAATAACATAGTTACGATCGGCCCCTTTCTGCCCGGAGATAGGACGGCGAAGTCAGTTATGTCGGAAGTTATGGCGGTCTGCACCTGAACTGGCCTAAACAGAACGGACTACCCGAATGACATTCTCTTGCTCATCTGGATGGCAAGGCGAAGGCGAGAGTGGATGGTTGATGGTTTTCCTCTGCATTCTTCTTCCTATTTGAGCAGCTTTCAATATATTATATATCGCTATTATTGTTATTTTATATTGGGGTCCTATGTGTAGACAGACACTTTACTTTGCATTGCATTTTATAGGAGAAGCGCCTCTATCGAATTATTTTCAGAAACCCTCTCAACGCTGAATTTTGTTGGAAAAATGAGGCCTATTTGTTGATTTTCAGACATAATATTTTGGTTATTGTTATTATTGTTATTATAAATATTATTAATAATATAATTTTCAATTATTTTTTTGTCATATTCATCCATCCATCCTTCTATCCATCTATATATCTTTTCATTTCTTTGAATCATCATATATATATAAATATATGCGTGCGTGTGTGTGTGTTTGTATGTTTGTTTGTATGTGTGTGTATATTTGTTTGTACGATGTTTGTGTATGTTTGTTTGTACGGTGTATGTATGCATGCATGTGTATGTTTGTTTGTGTGTTTGTTTGTATATATTCATGACTTTCAAATTGAATATTGCATAATCTTATTCTGTTTTCTCCTTCTTTCAAATTTTTTATACATATATTTTTAGAAATTATTATGCTATGATTGTAACTATATATATATATATATATATATATATATATATATATATGAATCTATAGTAAATATATATTTAGGATTAGTTTTTTTAACAAACACATTTTTATTTTAGGACATATTTTAAGCAATATTGTAAAAAAATTTACTTTTTGCGGTTGAATTTCATTTAAATTTATGGTGCGCAAATCTTTTTTGACTGAATTTTGTTTTAAAATTCTTTTTTTTCGCTTACATTCAATCAATTATATTCAATTCAACATTCATTTTTTTCATCCATTTATCCATCCCTCAATCCTTTCACTCACTCATTTAACCATTGGTCGACTAATTCTTTCAATCATCTACTCATTTATTCATTAATTTAACCAATCACGCATTCATCCATCCGTTCATTCATCCATTTATTTCGCCCATCAGTCTATTCGTCCATCCATTCTCTTCATTCATTTTCATTTCGTTTTCTCCTAATTCATTCATTTTATCATTCTGTCGCTCATTTGTTGTTTCATTTTTATATTTTGAACCTTTTATTTCAAAATATAATAGGCCTTCTTGTTCTTATTCTTACACACACACACACACACGCACGCACACACACACACGCACGCACACACACACACACATATATATATATATATATGTGAAAAACTATTCCATCGGTATATTACTTACCGTTGTTATATTTTCACTCACACACACACACGAACACACACACACACATACATACATACATACACACACATACACGCATACACAGTTGATTTTTTCTTTATATATTCTTTTAATTTTGTTTTGACGAAACACCAAAAATTAATAAAAATTATTATCCTCGCTTTGGAGTTTAACAGAAAAATAAAGAAATGAAAAAAAGCGTACTATTATTTCTGTGTGTGTTTGTATACGTGTGTGTGTGTGTGTGTGTGTGTGTGTGTGTGTGTGTGTATTTTTGTGTATGTTCGTCTGTCTGTAACACGATATATCACAGTTCATAAAAATTTACCTTTGAAAAAAAATCATGATATTAAATTAAATTAAAAAAATGGAATCAAACGATGATGATAATGTTTAGAGAGAAGGAGAGAAAGTGGAGAGAGAGAGAACATGACGAGAAGGAGCAACTAGTCAATCAACGGCACTTTCATCCTCCCACACTTCACTCCAACACCGACAGATGACGTCACCGATAGCTTCATCCATCAAAACAACATCAACAATCATAAAACAACACGCACAACAACAACAACAACAGCATAATAATAATAATTTCAATTTTCGCCGGGGAAGGAATAAAATTTTTCAATGAGATCGCCGTACTTTTTGAGGACGTCGGGCCGTTTCAACTTCAACGTTGGTCCTAATTAGTGGATTGATTGATGGACGGACGAATGAATGAACGATTGAATGAATGAACGAGCGAACGAATGAATGAATGGATGAATAAATGAATGAACAAACAATTCACTAACCCAATTCACCACCGGGGATTGAGAAATCCGCAGGCAGAATGGTCCATTTTTGAATTTTTTGAGCGTTTGAAGGTGCTTGCAAGTTTACTTGAGCAATTCCTGAAATGAGGTAAAGATTTTTCTCAGAAATAATTTTCAAGTAAATAAAATTTAATTTAATAATTCTTCATTAAAAATGCGTTGTGATAATTAAATTGTATCATTAATTAATCGTAATTGGAGTATTTTTTTGACCCGCTGAATTCAATCACATCAAGCAAATGAACAAATTATTTTAAATTATCAGCAATAATTTTTAATGAAAAAAAAAACTACCATCGTCAATTGCCTTCTTGACCTTTTCGTCTTTGTTATCTAGGACATCCTTGACGTATTTGGCCTCCGAGCCAATGGAATGACACCAATCTATGGCGGGTTGGGACAATTGGTCCAGTGGCTCCAACGTGTCCAAGTTCACTTCACACTATTTGAATAAGAGAGAGAAATTACAACAACACTAACACTAACGACGACAACAACAACACTAACGATAACAACAACAACAACATTACCATCAACAACAACAACCTTAAAAGTGATGAGCAACGATAGAAACCTCCTCCTATCGCCCAACAACATGCAGTTGCTCACACACTTCAACGTCTCTTTCACCCTCTCTTCGATCGGCACCGGGGCTACATTCTCGCCCCCAGATGTTATTATAAGTTCTGTTCGTTCATTGATTGGTTGATTGGTTGGTGGTTGGTTGATTGTTGGTTGGTTGATTGATGGTTGGTTAATTCAGTTAAGTTGTGGTTAGTTCCTATCAGATTCATGTTATAGAGATCTGACCGCATTCAAATGCCTAATTTTGTTTGACATGTGAACATTATGTTTTTTTTTCTCTCCCTCTCTACTCTCACTTGCACTATCTCTCTCTCTCTCTCTTTCTTGCTTTCTCTCTCTCACTTTCACTCTCTCACCTTTAATTCTTCCAGTGATGAAGAGACACCCTCTTCCGTCCATCTTTCCGATATCTCCAGTGTGCAGCCTGCCTTCAGCATCCAAGGTTTCCCGCGTTTTTGCCTCCTCGTTCAGGTAGCCCATGAAGACGTGACGTCCAACCATGCACACCTGGTCAATAATGAATGGATGAATGAATGAATGGATGGATGAATGAATGAATGAATGAATGAATTAATTAATTAATTAATTAATTAATTAATAAACAACTACCTCTCCACACCCATCACTATCAGGATTGTCCAGATAAGTTTGCACACCTGAGTAAGCCATGCCCACACTTCCCAATATCAAATGATTCTTCGGCGTTAATGTGTGAGCCGCTGTGTTTTTTGTTTGTGTGTTTGTTTGTCCGTGTGTTTGTTTGTCTGTGTGTTTGTTTGTCTGTGTGTTTGTTTGCGTGTTTGTAGTCTTATTCGTTTGTTTGTTTGTCTGCTAATTGCTGTAAGTAAATGAAATAAAAATAAGAAGAGCATTGAAGATGAAGGTGGAAAGCAAAAAAGAGATGGTGAATGGAGTGGATAGAGTGGGAGAAGAAGAAAAAACTGAACAACGAGGAACTGACTGACCGGTGCATTCGCTAAGGCCGTAGGCTTCTCTGATCGGCAGGTTGAGGCTGTAGAAGAACTCCATGGTTTCCTTCATGATTGGAGCAGCTCCAGTGATCAGAAAGTGGCATCTGTTGAAGCCCAGTGCCTCTTTGACCTTCGTGAAGACCAACTTGTTGGCAAGGCCGTACATGCAGCTTGTGCAGCAGCTGTGCCATCGTACAAAATGATACCATACCAAATGATACCATACAAATTGATATTATTCAAAATGATTATTCAGACAAAATGAAACCATACAAAATGATACGATACAAAATGATACGATACAAAATGATACGATACAAAATGATACGATACAAAATGATACGATACAAAATGATACGATACAAATTGATATTATTCAAAATGATACCATACAAAATGATACCATACAAAATGATACCATACAAAATGATACCATACAAAATGATACCATACAAAATGATACCATACAAAATGATACAGCAAGGCTTCTAATTACGTAATGAGTTAATAGTAATAACTCGACCGCATTGCAAATATAATCCATTCCCCGTCTTAAATATAATCTAGCCCGGAACAACAAAAACTGACCCTGACTTCCCGTGGGCTTTCCACAGTCCGACTTTCTTCGCCATCTTGATGACGTTCCTCTTGAAGACTCCATTTTTGCGGCCCACCACCAACATCGCCTCGTGCATCTTCTCCCAAACCCGCGGCACACCCATGAAAATTGTCGGCCGTACTTCTTTTATGGTGTCTTTCAAGGTGCCCTGGTTGGAGGAGTGGTGGTTGAAAGAATGGTTGTGATAATGATGCTGATGAGGATGATGATGATGATGATGAGAATGATAGTGATGATGATGGTGATGATGAAGAAGATGATAACTGTGACCATGCTGTTGAATTATTTAATAATTTCCAACTTCCCAAGCCAATGTTTTAAGGTTGATATCATATTTTAGTTTAACCTTAGGCATCGTCATCATCACCAGCAACAACATCATCATCATCATCACTAGCAACAACATCACCATCATCACCAGCAACATCATTATCATCATCATCACCATGAACATCATCATCCCAAGATGATGATGATGTTATGATGTTGCTGAGAGCGTCTCACTCATTCTTTTACTCATTCATTCATTCATTCATTCATTCACTCACTCACTCACTCACTCACTCACTTTGAGAGCGTCGGGCTGAGCGAAGTAGACGGAGGAGCCGACGATGAGGCTGCTGTAGATGTCGATCATCTGGGCGGCGATGTGGCTCAGTGGTAGGTAGGTCACTCCCACCTCTTCGCAACTGGTCCCCTCCGAAATCGAGAGGACTCGCGCTGACCATGTCAACTGGTTATGATGATGATGATGGTATTTGTGGTGGTGATGATGATCGTTATGGTGGTAGTGGCAGTGGTGATGATGATCGTTATGGTGGTAGTGGCAGTGGTGATGATGATCGTTATGGTGGTGGTGGTGATGATGATGATCGTTATGTTAGTGGTGATGATCGTTATGTTAGTGGTGATGATCGTTATGTTAGTGGTGATGATCGTTATGTTAGTGGTGATGATCGTTATGTTAGTGGTGATGATCGTTATGTTAGTGGTGATGATCGTTATGTTAGTGGTGATGATCGTTATGTTAGTGGTGATGATCGTTATGTTAGTGGTGATGATCGTTATGGTGGTGATGATTGCGATGATGACGATGGCTGTTATATTGGTTATAATAATTGTTGGGATATTAATGATTGTTAATATTTGTGATAATGTGAATTCATCCATCCATCCATCCATCCATCCATTCATCCATCCATCAGCCCATTTCATTTTTTTACTCATTCATTCGATCATTCACTCACTCATTCATTTATTCACTCATTCATTTATTCAATCAAATATTCATTCATTCACCCATTCACTCACTCATTCATTCACTCACATTATCATGGCTCAACATGGCTCCTTTTGGTGGTCCAGTTGTACCTGACTTCAATTTTTAGAAAAAATTATTTTATCAGTTCATGCATCCATTTATTTGTTCATTCATTTGCTCATTCATTCGTTGGTTTATTCATTCATTCGTTCGTTTATTCATTCATTCATACATTTGTAAAGACTTTCATTTATATTATATTTAATTATATAATAATCGAATCTAAAGTCTTTTCAAACCAACTTTTATTCAAATAAATAATCTTACAGCTAGTGATAATTTGAATACATTAATCAATCAATCAATCGATCAATCAATCAATCAATCAATCAATCAATCAATCAATCAATCAATCAATCAATCAATCAATCAATCAATCAATCAATCAATCAATCAATCAATCAATCAATCAATCAATCAATCAACCAGCCAACCAATCAATCATCAATCAACCAATCAATCAATCAATCAATCAATCAATCAATCACCAATCAATCAACCAACCAATCAAGCAACCGACCAATCAGCCAACCAATCAGCCAACCAACCAACCGTGTATATAAGACTACAGCACTTATTTGGAGCGATATTTTTTATTCGATTGTTGAGCGCCTCATCATCCTCTTCGCTTAGCTCCATTTTCATTAACTCGCTCCACTACAGACGAGTTGTTTTGAAATAATAAAAATAATAATAATAACAATAATAACAACAACAACAAAATTATAATGGCTTCAATTATAAATAAATCTGTCAATCAAATCATCTACTCTTTAATTCATTCATTCATCATTCATTTTGTGTTCATTCATTCATTCATTCATTCATTCATTCATTCATTCATTCATTCATTCATTCATTCAAGCGTTCATTCTGTCCTATAACAAAAATAAAAACAATAACACTTATTATTACTGTTATAATATTTATTATATATTAATTATTATATTATTATTTTATGTATATTATATATATATATATATTATATTATATTATATATATATATTATTCGAGCACTTATCCTAGATAATGAGCATCTATGGTTTTATTATACTGTACAATAAAATTTTGTTTTATTTTTTTTTATTTAATTTCCCCTATTGATTTATTGATAATAAAAGAGCTTTAATTATTCTCCAGACCAGGTAAACATTATCGTATTTCTCCTTCAGCTGCCCTTTGTACTGAATGATGGCCCTCACATCCGTCAGCTGGTCAGAAACTGAGAGAAATTTCTGGAGTTGAATGTCATTTTCCACTACGATGATCTGTGATTGATTGGTTGGTTGGTTGGTTGACTGAGTGAATGATTGGGTGGTTGATTGGTTGGCTGGTACTTTGACAGATTGGTTGGTTGATCGACTGGTTGGTTGATTGGGTGGTTGGTTGATTGACGGTTGGTAGATTGACTGGTTGGTTGGTTCATTATTTCATTCATTTTTTATTCTTTCACTCTTTCAGGCCTGCCTTCATTCGTCCATTCGTCATTCAGTTTAATTTTTATTCATATGTTGATCTGTTCTTTTGTTTATGCAGTTATCTTTCATTCATTCAATCATTCATTCATTCATTCATTCATTCATTCATTCATTCATTCATCCATTCATCCATTCGTTAATGTATCCACTTTTCTCTTTCTTTTCATCCATTCATTTGTTTGTTCATTCACTCATTCATTCGTTTGTTCATTCATTCAAACATTTGTTCGTTCATTCGTTCATTCATTACTACCTGACAGTTAGCGCTATTGGCTACGTATAAACACAACTCGGCAGAATTCGTTGTGTATATCCCGCATGAAATGCCGCTGGTGATGATAATGATGATGATGATGATGACGACTACGACGACGATGATGATGATGATAAACTCAATGATGATGATGAAATATGGTAATGATGATTGCTTAGGTTTATGTATCAATATGCTGCTATCTTGCTATTTTTGGTTAGTTATCACTATTATTGTTATTATTATTCTTAGTATTAGCGTAGTAGTAGTAGTTCTAGAGAGAAAAAGAGAGATAGAGAGATAGAGATTAATAATAGTAATAAATAATAATAATAATAATAAAATCCAACCCAGCAAAGATGGCTGCAAAATTGGAGATGAACCATTCTGGCGAATTGAAGCCGATGATGCCGACGCCATGGTGGCTTTCGAGACCTAACTGTGTGTGCGTGCGTGTGTGGCATCGTGTGTGTGTGTGCGTGTGTGTGTGCGTGTGGCATCGTGGCATAAAATAAAAATAACAAAATAGCCAGTTGTACCCTGATAAATATTTTCGCCATCTTCAGGACAACTGTGTAGTACTGATTGTAAGTCATCTTCACCCAAGCACCATTCTCCTTATGGCCTGGGGAGGCATAATAACAATAACAATAATAATGATAATAATAAAATAATAATAATAAAATAATAATAATAAGAAGAACAACATGCAAACGAACACAAAGCATCTCTTTCCCCGTGTTTCTCTACGGTCCTCCTGAAGGCTGTGACTATGGAGATCGGTTCCATGTCGGTCGGACTCACATCTCCCAGCCGGATCTTCACCGCCTGGTCGGCTTTCCATGTGAATAGGGATGTGCTGGGAACGAGGATGTCTGGGCCTGGTGGCGATGGTTGTGATAATGTTGATGATGATTATGATGATGAGATGATGATGATGATTACAATGGAGAGTGTGGTGATGGTTGAGATTGCATTAACTCTGCGATGATGCAATCAAGGGAGAGAGAGAGGGAGAGAGAGAGGGAGAGAGAGAGGGAGAGAGAAAGAGGGATAGGGAGAGAGAGGGAGAGGGAGAGAGAGAGAGAGAAGAACTAAACAACTCTGCCCTGGTTAACCATCGCGTTAAGAATAAATAGTGTTTCAACCTGACAAGTTCATTCGCTTATTAGATTCACACTACGAATAATAAGAAAAACAATCATCCTTATTATAATTAGCGATGAGTCAATGTATTTTCCGATTCGTAATTTCTATATTATAATGAGATAGAGATAGAGAGAGAGAGAGAGAGAGAGAAAGAGAGAGAGAGAAAGAAAGAAAGAAATGAGCGGAATTTTCGATTGCGTTGTAGAGTTATAAATGATCAAGAAATCACTTTATAAGTAAACCTCTTTCTCTCTCTTTCTTCCTCTCTATCTTTCTTTCCTTCACTCTCTCTTTCTCTCTTTTCTCTATTTTGCTCTCCTTCCTATCTAATGTCATCTTTCCAGCATCCACCCTGCTAACAGCGTCAGAGGCATTGGAACTTTCTCTCTTGTTATCTTGTTAAATCATTTATTGTGTTTTTTTTTTCTTTCACTCTTTCTTGTCTTCTTTCTCTCTCTCTTTTTAGCCTTTCTTCTTTCGTTCTCTCTTTTTTTCTTTTTCTCTCTCTCTTTCTCTCTCTCTTTCTCTCTACCTTCATTCGTCTATACCCACGCCTGATATACCTCGGCTCGGAAATATTTTTAAAAACCAATCAGATGTGATGTTATTATTATTATTATATTATTGAAAATTATTTAAGAGAGAATAAATTATAGTCAAAATTATGATAATTATTATCATCAATATCTTTATATATCAGCCACTGAATTTTATTTTAAAAGAACGACGAAAAATCATTGCGGAAAGTTTAATGGGATTTTTTTTTTGCCTAATTGGTCTTTAAAAAATGTTTCAAATAACGATGATAATATGACACGCATTAACGAATTGGTAACATTCATATATACAATACATACAAACAAAGATACATACATACAAACATACATGCATACAAATATACATGCATACATGCATACATACAAAGATACAAACATGCACACATACATTTATAAAACTACTTTGAGAACATTTTTGTAAATCAATGAAATTGCTTCGGTGCATTTTATGTGCGTTTGTCGTTGTTAATTTGTTGTTATAATGTTGTTGTTGTTGTGGTGGTTGCTGTTTTGAAGTTGTTGTTGTTGTGAGGTTGTTGTAGTTGTTTCATTAATTGCACGTTGATAAAATTATCACATTTTTATTATTTCTTCGTACTAACAGGCAACTGACGAAAAATTTTTACCAAACACGTCTGCATCAACTACAAGATAGATTTTTCATGTTTTGTAATAACTTTTCCCTCAATAATGTAAAAAACAAACATTCGATTTAACATGTAAGCATGTGTGTGTGCGTGTGTGTGTGCGTGTATGTGTGTGTGTGTGCGTGTATGTGTGTGTGTGTGTGTGTGTGTGCGTGTGTATGTGTGTGTGTATGATAATAATATTAATACTATAATTTTTTGTATAAACTCAAGTTTTACAATAATATTAACATCAACCATTCTTTATTACCCAGTTCGTGTAAAAAGGTGACGAAATTCAATATATCCAATATTTCTAATAATCTCACTTTGACGAAAATTTTCAATGAAGGATAAGCAAATGAATGAATGAAGAAATGAATGAACAAACAAATGAATGAATGAATGAATGAATTAATTAGTTAAAAAACAAACTTTACAAACGAACAAATTAATAAAATAAATAAATCAACGAAAATTAAGTGAGCGTTTGAACGAACGAACGAATGAATAATCGAATGGATGAACGTACGAACGAATGAATGAACGAACAAAAAAACGAATGAATGAATGATTGAATGAATGAACGAAAGAACGAATAAAAACGAACAAACCCACCGAAACACTCAGGCTGGACTTCATCATCGCTCATGGCCATCATATTCAGTATCACAGATTATTACTATTTATTATTATTACAACAACAATTATTTATTTATTTATTATTATTACAAATTACAATATTTATTATATAAAAATAATATTTAAATAATTATTTATTTATTATTGTTATTACAAATTACAATATTTATTATAATAAAAATGATATTTAAATAATTATTTATTTATTATTGTTATTACAAATTACAATATTTATTATAATATAAATATTTAAATAATTATTTATTTATTATTGTTATTACAAATTACAATATTTATTATAATAAAAATAATTAACAATACCAGTCCTAAATACACAAATTTATATAAAGAGGTTTGTAGTCGTTTGTAAGTAATTTGTTTGAAAATATCAATTAGTTCTTCTAACCTATTTGTAAGTATTATACATATTGTCTATAAGTTAATATTATGGTTATTATTATTATTATCAGTAGCGTAAGAAGCAGCAGCAGTTGCGGCAGTAGTAGCGGCTGTAGTAGCGACAACAGTAGCAGTAGTAGTAGAAGTTAGTATCAATACCAGTATTATTTACTCATTCATTTTGTCCGTCAGCATTTTTTTCACTTAACTTAGTTTCTTATGTATTACTTTATTATTATCATCATCATCAATTCCTATTATTATTATTATTATTATTATTTTATTGTTATTATTATTTCATTATTTTTATGCCAGACGAGACTTACATGACGTATGACTACTCATTATTTGATAAATTTTAACCGTCAGAATCCAAATATGTGTGTGTACGTGTGTGTACGTTTTCCTCTTGGGATTTATAACAATCAATTACTATTTTTGCATGCACACATACATGTATACAAATATAATAATATAAATATAATAATATTTATGTTATATATACTTATATATTAATATATAAACCTATAGTAATAATAGTGGTTAGCTGATAAATAATTATTGTTTAGGTGTGTAGTCAAGAGCTCGAAAATGCTACACACAAATGAGAAGACACACGTGTTTTTGTACTACGCTGTACACGCATCGTTCGATTTTAATGTATGCCTTCGTCCTTAAACTTCACATGTGCCTTTGTGTGTGTGTGTGTGTTTATATGTGTGTGTGTTTATGTGTGTGTGTGTGTTTGCGTGTGTGTTAGTGTGTGTGTGTGTGTGTGTGTATTAATGTTAAACTGAATAGGCAAACAATGCTGAATTGATAATTGAACGACTGACTGAATGATGAATAAATAATTGAGTAAATTTTGGATGAATACATGAAGAACTGACTAAATGAATGAATGAGTGCTAGATAAATGAATGAGTGAATGAATCGATGAACGAAAGAACGAACAAATGAACGACTGAACAGCTCTATGAAATAAGTGTGACTGAACAAACGAATGAATGATTGATTGTATAAAAGCGGCGATGAAAAAAATATAAAAATACGTCGGCGCGATGGTGTAGCGATGAAGTGCCTGGAACTGCCGTTGCAGCGTCTGGATTTGACTGCAAAGATATTCCCGCCTGCCACATATTGCGCAAGGTTGTCTGTGAAGATTGTTAAAGTTCAAACAACCTGTCGAAATAAATGAATTAAATAAATAAATTAATTAAGGAATTTCCGATAAATTCATACATTCCATGACTCCCAATTATCTTAACTTACCTTAACTTGAAGGGTCACTCGGTGTGATGGATGCCCCGCGAGGGGGAGTTCTAAAATATTTCAACGCCTTTACAAAACGAGGTAGCCCTATTTTAACTACTTTCTGGAAAAGCATCTCCTGATATACTTTGACTGCCATCAGATACTGAGCTGCGTTCAACTTTATAGATGCGGCTTCAATGGCTTCTTAAAAATTTCTGTCGATGGTGGTTGACGAATGGTGAGTGGCAAACTGTTTCATGTTGATGTTGAGCAATTTGAAAAGATTAGAAATAATTTTTAAAAAACTATTGAAAAGTTTGCCACCAAATTTTGTTGAAAAACACTGAAGTAAATGTTGAGTCCTTACGGGTTGTTTTAAAACAAGTTTTTTCAGTCGTTGCCATCGACCGAGACATTGACAACTTAGTGGTACATCTTTCTCAGAGGTTCATATTATACTTTTATAAAGTGCAGCGCTTCATAATGAAGATAAGAATTATCGTCTATATTTAGCAACCAAATTCCCGTGGTTTCGATTTCAAAAGTTTTATTTAAGATAATGCGTTTTCCTGTAAAAGTAAATTAACAATTTTACTAAATTTTGAAATACCAGAATGGCGGAAGAACTAGGTTCCATCGAAGTGCTTTTTAACGAAGCTAACAGTAAATTATTCAATATTATTCTCACGAAGGATAAAGATCGCTTGGCCAGGGATTTAGAAATTTGTTTTGATGAAAATAAAGAAGTTTTGTTTGAATTTGTCAGTGACAATAAATATAAAATTACAATACATTACAACAAATCGAGATCTAAGTACGAAGACGATGACGATTTGAAGACGAGACTGCTCAATTATACGAGCACGTGGAAAAGCTGTTCTTCCACTCCCAGCCAAAATAAAATTTTGTTTCTAAAGAGTACAATAGGGGAATCATACATACGTAAATTCAACAGTGAACCGATCATCATTGGTTCTGACGTCAAAGTTAGAAAAGATGGTGGCGATGTTGATTGTGGGGTTGGGGTAAAGACATTTGCATGTTTAATTCTTCACGAGGAATCTTACACTCTGGCAGTGGTCCACAAAAATAGTTACAACAGCTTTAAAAGTAAACTAAACAATGACATACATGAGGAACATGTTAAACTTGTAGATGAGAATGCCAAAAAGTTGATAGAGTGTGAGAAATTGAAGTCATTAGCAAGAGGTTTTGAAGAGAAAGTCTACATGACAGTCTCATCTGATGAAATTGTCTTGGTTGGAGATGTTAGTAATGTTACTAATCTGAAACACAAGCTTGAAAATTTTTTTGAAAATGAATCAAACTCCATTGAAGAAATCCAAATAACAAGAGGGCAGTACCTGCTTTTAAGTAAAGATTATGACAGGTTTTATATCTCTTCTATTTTAAACATTTTTGAAATTCTTCAGTTGACATTTTTGATCATTAAATTTGAAGATTGATAATTTTTTAGTAGGTTTTTTAACATTGTTGGTCATAAAATCACAAAACTAACTAAATTTTGATATTCTTCATTAAAATTTTTGATACATTGGTAACTCTTAAATAAAAAAATATGACTATTCTGCCCTACCTAGTTAATCCATTTATAAAGAAAGTTTTTATGTCTGAAAAAGATCTTACAATTAATTATGAATGGTTTTTTTCTCTCAGAATTCTACCAGAAAACATAGAGTTGACACTCGCTGAAGACTGCATCACGCTGAAGGGCACCAAATTCCAACTACAAAATGCTGAAAAAATAATCAAAGAAAACTTCATTCAAAAATATAAAAGTCATTCTTTTGATGTTTATGAAAGAGGTTTGGTTATAATAATAATAATTATAGTTATAATTATTATAATTATTACTAGTAGTAGTAGTAGTAGTAGTAGTAGTAGTATTTTTATTATTCTAACATTACTGAAACAAAAACTGACACACGCACACACACACACGCACAGAACAGCTCTAATCATTACTTCTGCCTCCAATAACAAAATAGCAACACAAAAATAGTAATAAAATAATAATAATAATAAAAGGTTTAAAAGTGGATTCCTTCGATAAAGATAACGGTCCGGCGTATGACCACATAGCTCTAATTGAATCTCGTTACAAATGTGCTTTTGAAATTGCTGGCAAAAAAGTTGACCAACCGGACATGTAAGTTCACTTTTTTATTTCAATAATAATAATAATAATAATGTGAACATATTTTATTTATTCAATCAACAAAATACAATTCAAAATAATAAGAAATAAGAAATGGATAATAATAATAATAATAATAATAATAATAATAATAATTATAATAATAGTAGCAGTAGTAGTAGTTGTAGCAGTAGTAGTAGTAGTAGTAGTAGTAGCAGTAGCAGTAGTAGTAGTAGTAGTAGTAGTAGTAGTAGTAGTAGTAGTAGTAGTAGTAGTAGTAGTAGTAGTAGTAACAACAATGGCTCAATGGTTAAAGAGGAAATGACTTTTTTTAACTAAATGATATTAATAATTTATTATTATAATTATTATAAACGTTGTGGGTTAATAATAATAGTTATTTTTCTGCTTATTTTTTTATTTCGTATTTTTTAACCATCCAGTTTTGTTATACTTGAATGATATTTTTAAAATATTTCAAATCAGAGATGGCTTTTCAACTTTATTTGGATCTGACCAACCAGTCAGCAGCGGCGATGATAATGATGACCACAAAGAGGAGGATGATGACGAAGACGATGAGGGTGATGAAAAAGATGACGATTATGATGACGCTTATGACGATGATAATGACGATGATGGTGATGACGACGAAGACGATGAGGGTGATGACGACGAAAAAGATGTTGGCGTTAACATTGCTAGCCAGTCCTCACCAACTTCATTTCAACCTGTCATAAAAGTTTTAAATGGAAGTATTGTTGAGTGCAAGGTAGTTTCATGAGTGAATAATAATTTAGTGTAAGAGTGTATGAATGCATGAATGAATGAATTGATTAATTAATTATTGAAAGAATGAATTGTTGAGTGGAAGAGTGAACAAGTGAATAAATGAGTGAATGAATAAGTGAATGAATAAATGAATGAATGAGTGAGTGAGTGAGTGAATGAGAGAGTGTATTATCTTTATAAATCCATATTTTTCATTTTAAAAAATAAAATTTTTACTGAACGATTGCTTCATTTTAAAACTTGAAAAATAGCTTCTCAGAAGTTTGAACGACGAACAAAAATTTTAACTGCTGTCTTCACGCATGAATCCATTCGATGTATCAAGTACATTGCATGTGGTAGGCGAGTACCAGTTTGCAATCGAACCCGGCTACCGCACCATTAGCGCCAGGCACTTTCGCTATAAACCATCATGACGTCCGTGGAGTTTTTCTATTAAACAAATTTTTACAGAATTCGGATATTCTAGTAAATGTCTTGTGCGAGAAGAACCCAGTCAACTTATCAAACAGTAGGTCGGGAGTCATATGCAGATCATTTCATAGTGCCCTCGGCAGCCAACTTTATGATGTAATTACTTTCACCATTTTGATTTTTATAGTTATTACAATGAAAATTTTGAAAGTTTTTCCAAAATTTGTATTGTTATTCAAATTATATAATTACCTTATATTATGGAAAAATAATTACGAAACTTGTGGTACAATTTTATAATTTTTTTCAATTTTTTCCTATCCATAGGATTTGAAGGCCCAGGGTTTCCCAACTGAATTTGGTTCAGAGCCAGCCATCACTGATGCACTGAAATACAAAACTGTGGATTGTAAATGGTTATATCACATCTACATGGAACGTTTTAAAGGGACAGAACAGTATAATGTTAGTATATATTTAAATATATAATTATACATAATAATAATATTATATATATATATATATGCGTGAGTACGTGTGTGCGCGTGTGTGTGTGTGGTGTGTGTGTGTGTGTGTATCGTTTCTTTTTGATATGTTTTTGTAGAAGGATCAATCAATAGCACCATCACCGCCAACAACAACAACACACATTCACCAGTCGTTGAAAGGTTGCATTTTGAAATGTCTTGAAAATGCGAAGGCACAAAACTGCAAAAATATTGCATTTCCTACTTTGGGATGTGGGAAATTGAACTATAGTGCTCGGGAAGTTTGCACGGCTTTCGTAGAAGCTGCTAAAGAATTTAAATACCCCATCGAGGTCAATATTGATTTTTGCTAATTATAAATAACGATAATAAATATTAGTAATAATTTATTGAATATATATGAATAATTACGAATAATATTTATTATAATTTTATAACTTGGCGTTGTAATTTTATTAGATATTTATTATTTTATTATTACAAATTGTTTTTGATTTTAAAGATTAAAATCCTGACGACATGTGCCAAGACAGAGAATGTTTTTAAAGAAACATTGACGAAGAAAAATGCTCTAACCTCAAATTCAAAAAGTTAAAAAAGCTAACCTTTCTCCTTCTTCTTCTTCTCCTTCTCTTTCTTCTTCTTCTCAATCTTTTTCCCCTTCTTCTTCTTATCTCTCTATCATTCCATAACCATTACCATAACCATTGCTATTAATATTAGTAATAATAATATTATTGTTATTATTTGTAATTTCTTCAAAGAATCTCACAAGAGCAGTAAAAGTTGTCCAAGAAGAGATGAGATGATGATAGAATTCACGATCCACACATTGTTTGCAGAAGATAGCATCAAGATTAAAGACATTGAGAATGCTGTAAGAGCGAAGTTGAAATCTATCTGTGGCTGTTTGTCCATTGAACATGATGTCTTTTCGTGTCTCGGCGAGCTCTCCCAATTTTTCAAGTCGAAACTCGCCCAACTTACTTCAGCAGCTGATATACAAAATGGTTTGTTGTATGATACATGACCTGCTTTGCATTGGTTTATTCGTTTTTATCTTATTAATGCTTGTTAACATGTTTGTTAACATCTCCTTCTTTTGTATGCATCAATGAACTAGCAAGTTTCCTCCCGCGAACACAGGTCAGCTGACGATATACGGTCTAAGTAGTGAATTGGTGAAGTTGAAAACCGAAGTTCAGAGACTGTGTGACTGGGAGAGTAGACGTTTAAACGATTTGGACAACTTCAAAAAGACCAAAGGACCCAAGGCCTATTATTTGAAGGTGGTCAAATTGGGCAGTATAATATATCCTTCTTATTTTAAGTGCTCTGACAAGGCAGATCTTAGCGAAACAAAAATTCCTTTGAACAAAAATGGTAGAAGGTATAAGGTGAGTGATTTTTTTCATATCACTTCTCATTTTGTAATCAACTGTTTGTGATAATTTTTATGCCCACTTCACTTCAATCAGTGGAGATTACAAAAAATTAATAGAAATAAATGAATTGCCAGTCTTGCGTCGAAGATACCGGTTTCAAATGCTGTGTCAGCCTATGTCATCTAAAAACTCTAATGTTGCATGCGTTGATTTGATACAGACGTATCTACGCTTGCTTTGTTTATCGCAGTTGTTGACAGCTTTGAGTTTGAAGAGTGAAGAAAGTTGAAATTATTAAATTAAATTTTTTGCTGATTTTCGTTCAGGCAATATCTGAAATGGTCCTGCAAACTTGGGATGCAAAGCTCGTTGGGAAAGGAGCCGATGCCATAGGATTGGGACATAAACAAATTTCAATCAAGCACATTTACCTCAATGAGAATTTAAATTTTTATAAACACTACTGGACTGCTAAAAAAGGGCACATGGAGAAATTTCAGCACTCGGACAAACCATACCCTGACCTTTCAGTGAACAAGCCTAAAACCTGTGGTCAGTTAATTGGTTGCCTTCTTTATTGAAATGTAATGTTCAGTTTGATGATGATAATTTGTGAGTCAATGAAATGATTATTTGGTTGTTGTCTCGATAAGATTGAATTAATTGATCCGGGAGAGCTTTCGTTGGGTTATTGGCTAATAATTTAAAAATAATGAAAGATTTCGGACCATATTTGAATGGATTGCTGGATAAAGAACTGAATGAAGTCTACTTGTTTCATGGCACGAAGGAAAAAAGCGTCAAAGTCATCTTGCATTCTGGCATTGATAGCAGATTCTCATCTGATAAGGCTCTATTTGGTAGTGGAGCTTATTTCGCTGAGAGTTCTACGAAAGCTGACCAGTATGCTGGTTAGGAAGTTTGTGTCTAATGTTCAAATGTGATTACTGTTTTAATATATAATTATTTTCGATTAATTTAAGTTGTAAGCTATTCACTTTGCTAAGTACTTATCTAATCTGTGATGTCAGTGAATTGCTGAATGGATTTTATATTTTCTTCTTGTATATCATCCTTTCGTTCAACTTTCTACCTAATCTCACGTCTAAAAGCGTTACATAAATATGGATAGAAAACAAATAAAAATTTCGAAATATTTTTCACGAAGACGATAAGAAGGCGAGGAAAGCTGCTGGGACGCCGATGTTCATGTTCCTCTCTCGAGTTCTTCTAGGTAGTGCCTATGTTTGCACGTCAGCCCACAACTTCAAGAAACCACCCTGCACCCACCAAACCTGCTCGCTCTTGGACAACTGTGCAACCCATCCCTTTCATGATTCAGTCATTGGCACACACAAACAACCGGATGATCAACTATTGTTCAAAGAATATGTCATTTATGAAAAAAATAACTCGTATCCGGAATTTTTAATCGAATACGTTCGAGAATAAATGAATAAATGCTTTTTGTTTATATATTAACTTATTTACTTTATTCGGCTTAGTCTGTTTCAGTGTTACAATTTTGTCACATCGTACCACGTCGTACGTTACGAGTATAGCGCTACGAAATCAGTTTTAAATAAAGTTTAAATGTTCCCGTTACCATGGTGACGGTTTTATTGAAAAGATAGTTTCGATAAAAAATTTAGTGTAGAATGAATTAATTCAAAAATGAATTAATAAAAAATTTGATAAAACCGGAGGTTAGTTCTAACTGTAAGGTTTGCTATAATTTCTAAAACTTACCGCAAACATATTTTTTTCGGCCATTTTATTAAAACGATCCTTAGTCGTTAACTTACGACTTAGTCAATCTTAATTCTTAACCTTCTACCTAAGGTAAAAGAAGACACATACAACATTATTATCAGACATTAGATTAGACATTTAGTTTGGTGATTAGGTACTCTTTAGGTTTAGTTAGTAGGGGTTAGGGTTTTTTTTTGATATTCATAGACACGTGATTTAACAGTAACACCCATGACGAAGCTTGGGTTTTGACGCAAATTCAGATTCTTTCACGAAATAAAATTTGAAAAAGCAGTTATAAAAATTAAGTTTTGTCAGACTTCGAATAAAAAACCAAAAGCGATGCCGAATTTAAAAGATAAAAAGACATGCGTTACTGGCCGACGGAAAGAAATTACTAAAGAACTACTGGCCAATCTTCCAGCAGTGAACAAAGATGACCTAATTAACAGAATTGTCGTGAAGCCAGCAACGAATGAAGACACTGAGCCAGATCCATCGGTCGTCATGGCGCAACAAACTTATTTGCACGAAGTTAAAAAAGGACGCTTTGAATCGAGACAATCTTCTTTGGTGGGTTTAATTAAGTTAATCACCACATAATAAATACAGAATCATTTGTTTTAAATAAGAAAATTATGATTTATTGTGAATTAAACCTGAAAAAAGCCACTTTTGAGGTCGATTCGAATGAGGCAGGAGGAGGAAGATTCAGTGAAGGCAGCTTTCAGGAGAGCAGAGAACGACAAAAGTGATACTAAGAAGGGGCTTGGTGTCAAGTTACCATTGGTTGGTTGGTCGGCTGATTGTTTATTTGTTTGTCTGGTTGATTGAGTGATTTTTGGTTGATTAGTTGGTAAATTTTATTTTCTTCAAGTTAACACCAATGTCTCAAAAGCAGTCAACTGTTGATAGAGCATTTAGAAGAGGTTAGATCTATATTTATCATTATCGTCATCATCATCATTGTTATCGTCATCATCATCGTCATAGTCATCATCGTGATCATCATCATCATAATTGTCATCATCATCATTTTTTTCATTCCAATGCATCATATGATCATATCTCATCATCATCATCATCATCATCATCATCATCATAACCATCATCATCGTCATCATCATAACAGCTAATAATAGATCTAACAATATTTTTTACAGCTTAACATTGAAAATAAGCAAAAGTATCATCATCATCATCATCGTAATTATTATTATTATTTTTATTATTATTATTTTTATTATTATTATTATTACTGTTATTATCTTTATCATTCTCATCACATTTGGTATGATGTTTAGTTTTTTTTTTATCACCATATCGTTCTTTATACTACACGCACTCTAGTATAATTTGTGTTTCTGTATCAATGTTTCTATATATGCTACCTATATCGATTTACAAGGCCTTGTGTATGTGTTTGTTTGTGTGTGTGCGTGTGTGTTTGTGTGTGTGTGCGCGTGTGTTTATTTTTACATATTATTATCATCACATTTATTCACGTCTGTGTGTCCCCTTTCACGGAGTGTCTTTCTGTCACATTTTGTTGAGATTTATTTTCATTTCTTCATCTTCATCACCACTTTCATCATCGTCGTCGTCGTCGTCGTCCTCACTCACCATCATCATCGCCATCATCACTTTCATCGTCACAGGCTCTCAGGATTTTTACGGTATGACTAACATTCACGACATAATAAAGTTAGTAAGACAGACTCCCACCATTGATTTCCTGTACTTGACGCCGATTTTCAAGAAGAGCAGCGTTCACTATCATTACTATAACCTCAAGTTTGGTCTTGATGATGATGACGACGACGATGATGATGATGGTGGTGGTGATGATGATGATAGTGGTGATGGTGATGATGATGGTATAATAATTTGGCGACGGTTTACAATTATTTGTCCTTTTTTTATGTATGTATTTTTTTATTAACAGTCTCCACTCTTCAATGTTCACCTCATAATCACCCAACACCACCACCATCATCATCATCGTCGTCATCAGATTCTTTTTTCTTTTTCATCATCGTCATCGTCACCTTCATCATCATCGTCGTCGTCGTCATCATTATCTTCATCGTCACCATCGTCATCATCATCGTCATCATCGTCATCGTCGTCATCATCGTCATCAACAGAACAGTTCCCTATCAGGATATAGACAAGAATGATTATTGCACGGTGAGTAAGCGCGGAGTGATGCGGGTGATGATGAACGAGGACAGTGACTACATTTCATTGGAGAGGTTCGATGAGGAATTCAAATACTTCCAACAACTTATCAAGGTTTCTGCCATTTGTTCGTTCGTTCGTTCGTTCATTCATTCATTCATTCGTTCATTCATTCGTTCATTCATTCATTCGTTCATTCATTCATTCATTCGTTCATTCATTCATTCATTCATTCATTCATTCATTCATTCTTCGTTCATTTATTTATTCATTTATTTGTTCTATCACAGACGCAAACAAACACGCACACACACGCACGCACACACACAACACACACACAACACACACACGCACACACACACACAGATAAGAATCTTCTGCATGTTCCGCCAATGGAAGTCGTTCAGTACCTGGAAGAAGAATGTTAAATTCGAAAAGTTTGAATCGTCGCAGAATTATTTGAAGGCCAACCTCTTTCTCTGTAGTGATGCTAGTTGTTGTTATTATTTACACACACACACACGCACGCACACACCACACACATACATACACATACACACACAAACAAATGCGCAGGTTTTGAGACCAGCTCTTGAAAAAGTTCGAAGCATATGCTTGAAAATTGATGATTTGTTGCTCTGCCGTTATAAGATTGGCAAGTTATATACATTAAGCGACTTTATGGAGTTTCAAAATACTCAGCTCAAATCTGTTCGTACTCGTTCATTCATTTGTTCGTTCATTCGTTTTTTGTTCATTTATTTATTTTTTCATTTTTGCTTGTTCATTCACTCAGTCAGCAAGTTCGTTATTCAACTAATCAGTCGATCATTTTTATATTCATTTATTCCTTCATTTGTTGTTTTGTCTGTTCTTTCATTCACAAAACGGTTCATTCATCGTTTGTTTAAACATTCATTCATTCACTCACTCACTCATTCATTCATTCATTCATTCATTCATTGATGATCAGGTAGTAGAAAAGTTGCTACAGTACAGAGATTCGATGAAGAGGATCGTGATGAATGCCTGCAAAAACGTCTTCAGCGGCGCCAACTTTTCTATCGACATCAACAAATATTACAAGGGTGGGGTATCTTTCATTTAATTAATTCATTCATTCGTTTGTTCATGCATTCATGCATTCATTCATTCAATCATTCATTAATTTATTCATTTGTTCGTTCGTTTGTTGAATCTTTCGTTGGGAGCATGTATATATATTACTATCGCTTCACTCAATTACACATTATGCACTATTACAGAGTAGTATGAACACACAGACATTCACGCTCATGCACGCACACACGCATAAACACACACAGACACACACAGACATACACGCACACAGATTATTCAGAGCACTTGAAACCATCGAGGTACAAGGACGACGTGTTTGTCGAGCCGCCTGAGATGACATACACTGAGCAGGCCAACAAGAAGGAGCTCTGTAGGAGGCTCACAAAGTTCGTCGTCGTTGTTATTGTTGTTGTTTGGTGTTGTGGTTGGTGTTGGTGGAGTGTTGGTCGGGAGGATGTTGTGACGGTGGTGGTGGTCTTCTTGCTTGGCTCTTCGTTTTTATTTTTGCTGATAAATTTTCACATTTCTTAAACCGGCATTTTACACGTATCGCATGAGACAACTTGAAAGCCTGGCGGCAAACAAACATGAAGCAAACAAACAACCACCACACAAACGTGCCAACAACCACCAACCACATCAGCAACTACAAGAACCACCAAAAACCCACCACCACTACCACGAACGACGACAGCTTCATACGCCTCGTAGACTACCTAACGGTGAACACACTTCATTTCCTAACCTTGAGTTCCGCACGGAGCTTCTTGTACCAGCTGATCAAATGTAGCCACAAAACGCCGGCCGTCCAGGATATTGTCAGCTGGCTGCAAATCGTCGACGAGGCCGCTAAAAGTTCTGTCAATCCGGATAAGATGAAAAAGGTTGTGTGTTTGTGGTTTTTGGTCCGGATTAATGGAGCTGGGCATAGTTTCTATTGTGTGTGTGTTTGTGTTTGCGTGTGTGTGTGCGGGTCCGGGATTTTTGGAGTTGCCTGTGTGTGTTGTGTGTGTGTGTGTCATGGATTGTATTTATCGCTGAGTTGTGATATTTTTCAGATGAATGAAGAGCGAAACAGGATGAAAATAAAAACGGATAAGAAGGTTTTTACTGCTGCTGATGTTTTGTTTGTTTTATCGTTCAATCAATCGGCTCTTCCTATCTTACTAATCATATCTCCTGGATATTTAAATGTTCCTAACTTCTCCAACAGTTTCTTTAGAAGGCTAGCTCGGGTTCTGACAGGTTTTGGGCAAATGAAGTTTCCCACTACAGAAGACAATGCTCCAGTCATTTCTGAGCACTTTTTATGACACCATTTTTCACAACGATGGCACAAAATTGAGTTGCTGCCAACACCAGCATTGCTTACCGAGCAGGGCCAGCAGCCGGTAGGAGTGCTTTGTGCAGTTTCTCCAGCAATCAGCGTTTTTGTCTTTCCTATGTGCACTTTGAGCTCGTGTTTGGCTGAATGTCGACTCCAGACCTCAAACTTTTCACTGCTCCTTCTTCGGATGTAGCCGTCAGTATTACATCATCAGCATACATAATCTTTCATGTGTTCTTCGTACGTATTGATTCAGTTATTTCTTGCGTACCGATATGAACAACAATGGCCTGAGGATTGATCCGTGATGTACGTCAAAGCCGATCTCGAGACGCCCTTGTTATCACAAACAGACGACATAATTGTTAGTTCGAGCGAGTTTTTCTATCAGGATGCCCTTCCTAACCTTTCCTTCGAATAAATAGCCTAGACTGCAAGACAGCGGATTAACATTTATCCTGCTTGGTGCCATTATTTGCAGAGACTTTCCTCTGACCTCTCTAACTTCAGCCAGCACAAGAGAAGAGGCAATAATCTGGACTTGTGGCTAAACACAGCCTTGGCTTTTCTTTTGGCCTGCCGGTCTATCCGCTGCCAACCCCCCCTAGGGTGGGGTAGGGTGGATTTTAGGGGATTTTATCGTTTGAATAGAAATATATATTATCATCACCATCGTCTTCATTACCTTCATCATCTTCGTCTTCATCATGTTCATCATCTTTATCATGTTCATCATCATCATCTTCATCGTCCTCATCATCGTCGTCTTCGTTTACAGATTTTTGTGATGACTCATTCAGAAGACGGTCAGTCACCAATCTTTGTGACGGAGTTCGTAATGATGCAGCAGGATAAGCTTGCATTCGATCCCGACGAGTTGGCCTTTCAACAGGCCATTGAACTTCTGATCACTAAATTTCAAGAGACTACACTGAAGTTCAATAACTTGCTTTCCGATCCTTATTTTGATATTTTCACAAAGTTGGTTGTGATTGGATGGTTGGTTGGTTGGTTGGTTGGCTGTTGTTGGCTAGTTAATTGGTTGTGATTGGTTGGACGGTTGGCTGGCTGGCTGGTTAGTAGGTTGGTTGGTTGATTGGCTGGTTGAGTTGGTTGGCTGGCTAGCTGGTTGGTTGGTTGGTTGGTTGGCTGGTTTATTGGTTGGCTGGCTGGCTAGTTGGTTGGTTGGTTGGTTTGTTAGTTGGTTGGTTGGTTGTTTAGTTTTATCATTGCAATTAGCAAGAACATCGTTATCAAAATCATGAACAACAAAAACATCATCACCTTCATTATCTCCATCTCCATGACCAACAGACCGATGATAAACAACAAGATAGAGAAGAGAACGTGCGGTGATGGCCCGAGTTTGTTATCAATCCTGGAAGATAACAACTACATCAAGATACTCTTTAAAAGTATCATCGTCAGTATCATATCATCATCGTCAGTATCATATCATCATCGTCAGTATCATATCATCATCGTCAGTATCATATCATCATCGTCAGTACCATATC